GGGACACAGTGCCGGGTGGCCACCGCACCCCTGGGTTCCTGTTATGGAAGCCGAGAGCCCGGCCATGGCCGAGCCAGAGAAAACAGCTGCCAGGGCTGGGTTCATGGAGCAGGAAACAGACGCCAGCGCTCGCCAGGCCTCACCCCCCACGGCCGCCCCCGCCTGGTCAGCTCTGTGCTTCAGTCTCCTCCTGAGGACCTTGTAGGTGACTGTGCCGCCTCGCCTGGGAGGTCAGGGCAAGACCCTGGCACCGGCCACCGGCCGCCGCACGCAGGGGTCCGGATGCACAGTGATGAAGTGTTTGACTCGTGCTTGCCTCCCGATCTGCCTGGCACACCCATTTTTCCAAGTGTGATGAGGCTGTTGTCACCCTTCTGGTCCCCTAGACCACCCGGGAGCCCTCAGCCATGCAGGGGCCTTGCCGTGTCTGGGCCCGTCACCAGGAACCTGTGAGCTGGGGGTTGGAAGCCTGTCCAGACCCCAGGTGACGGCCGGCGTGTCAGGCACAGGCACCCATTCGGGGTTCACTGCTGGCTCACACTCTCCCACCGGATGGCAGGTGTAGGATGGGACAGGTGGGCTGGGCTCACAGGCCCCCCGACACCCTGTCCTCTGAGCCCAGGCACCCTGGGCTGCCCCACTCTGCCTGCTGCCAGCCTGAGAGCCCCTTGCTGTGCCCTGGCCACGGTGGGGAACCCCAGGCCTTGCCCCCCCCGGAATGTGGCGTGTGTCCCAGGGTGGCCTTCGGCAGAGCCCAGGGCTCCTGGACTCGGGGTCAGATGCCTCACGACTGGAGTCTGAGACCGGCCTTTGCGTGGAAACGAAAAAGCCCGGGGTTTCTTCCCTCCGCTCCTGGGGAGCCCGGCCCGGCCCCGGCTGACCTCGGGTCCCCTGTCTCTGTCCACAGTCATGCCGCACCCCCAGCGCTTCAGTGGGGAGAGCGTTGTGTCCTGGAGTGACCTGGACGTCACCATCTCGGTGCCCTGGTACCTGGGGCTCATGTTCCGGACCAGGAAGGACGACGGCGTGCTGATGGCGGCCACGGCGGGCGCGTCCTCCCGGCTGCACCTGCAGGTGGGTGAGAGCCCCGCCCTCCCGGCCGCGCAGGGCAGGTGTGCGCCCAGCGATGGGACCGGAGCCCCGGCAGCGCCCCCCGGAATCACGCACCCCAGCGTGTCGCTGCCCCACGCCGACCCGTGGGGCGGGGAGAGACGGGAGCGCGCTTTTCTGGTGGCTGCACCCTGTCACCGTTCACGCCGGGCGGGGTGTCCCAGGAGCGGCGTCCGCCACCGGCCCCGGGCCCTTCCAGCCCTCGACTGCCTCCGTCCCCGGGGCTGAGCACGTGCGGGGCCCCCGGGTCCAGCCCCTCGGGTCCCAGCGGCAGTGTGTCCCAGACAGCAGCTCTGGGCTGCGGGCCGTCGGGCCCATAGGGCGCGGTGAGCACCTTCGGGTGCCCACGACAGGCCCCCTCGGCCATGATTTTCCAGGGGGCTGTGTTCAGTTAGAAGTTCCCTAAAAAACCTTCCCCGAAATCAAAATTCCTTACGCCCGCATCCTCGTCATCGCCGCGGCCTTTGCCGTTCCGTTTGTTTGAAACGGTGGGCAGGCGGCACGGTCCTCGAACACGTTCAGAAGGTTCTTAGAACGCGCCCGTCCCCGAGTTTGTTCTGTCACCTTCCCAGCTCCGTGGGCCTTCCGTCTGAGGAAACAGGTGCCTTGATCTGTGGGGCGCCCAGGTCGTCCTTCGTGGGCTCCCCCTCCCTGCCCCTGTCTCCAGAGCAGGTGAGCTGGGCGGTGCCACCCTCGCCCGCAGCCTCGGAGGTCAGCGGGGGCAGGTCCCCGGGGCTCCCAGATCCTCTGCGGGTCGTTCGGACAGAGCCCCAGGGACACGACTAACCCTGTCCGGCAGGGGCTGGGCCTTAGAGCCCGACAGCGGCCTCCGGCTCTCGGTCTGCGGGTCCCCTCGCCCTGCCCGTCGCGACTCAGGAGCGCTTTGCAGGCAGAGCCATCCGACGGCCACAGGGCCTGCGTGCGTCGGGCGCTCACACCGAGCACCCTCCTCTATTTTTCGTCTTTCCCTTGTGACCTTGTCATTCCGTGTGTTCACCAGGCAGCCCCGGATCGAGCTCTGGGCCAGAGCTCAGCAGGCACGGCTCCGCCCGGGTGGTTTCCCTGTTGGAACAAATGAACTAACTGGGCTGGTCTTGGTCCGGGTGGTGCATTTGAGCCTGCAGGGTGTCGCCGGCTGTGGGGTCTCCGTAGGAAAAAGTACGCTCAGGAGGAACAACCCTGAAAGCCACAAGTCCCGTGTTGTCTGAATAACTGCGTCATGGGTAGATCATCCAGAAATTAAGGTTTTCTGCCAGGGACTGGGGCCAGCCCTCCCTGTGGAAGGCTGGGTGGTAGGAGCAGTGGCCTTGGGGGGGATCCTCCAGGCCCCAGTGGCCACCCAGGAGGCCGCCCCGGGGCCGCTCCCATCAGTCAGCGGGCACTCCAGGAATACCCTGGCTTATTCCTACGTGATGCGTGTGGATCGCGGGCCCCCTGCAGGCCCCACAAGCCACGTGGGGCGCAGCTTAGGGCTCCTGGGCCTCTGTGGCAGGCCAGACAGGTGACACAGTCATCCCGCAAGTCCAGACAGTTTGGGTAACTACTTCTGGACGCCCTGAGTCCCCCCACATTGTCAGGCGGGGTCACCTGGCTGTCGTCGGGCGCCTCTCCCAAATCCGGCGACAGAGCAGTCACTGCCACAGTCCCGGACCCACCCCACGGGTATCGCCTTTGGGTGTACGCATGTGTCGTTGTTGGTCCTCAGGCTTTGGGTTTTGTTAGCAAAAGCAGCGAAGAGAGCCCTGGCTGGTGTGGCTCAGTGGTTAGAGCGTCGGCCCGCGGACTGAAGGGTCCCGGGTTCAGTTCTCGGGTGCAGGCTGGATCCCCGGCCCGGTCAGGGTGCGTGCCGGAGGCAACCCATCGGTGTGTCTCTCTCCCATTGACGTGTCCCTCTCGCTCGCCCTCCCTTCCACTCTCTCTGAAAAGCGATGGAAAAAATATCCTCAGGCAAGGATTAAAAAAATAAAGACAGTGGAGAGAGAGCGGGGGAATGAATGCGTGGGCTCCCCCCGCGTCTGTGGGACAAGAGGGAACATCGCATAGAAGGTGAACATTGATCTCCTTTCGTTGACTGTCGATCGAGACTGAAAACCAAAAGGCATCCTTAGCCGCGTCGTCTTTACGATCGGTGGAAGTATTTCCTATTTTCCATCATGATTTCTTCCCTAGACCCCGGGGGATCTAGGAAGCATGTTTTTGGGTGAGCGAACAGGTGGCGTTTTCCCGTAAATCGCGTTGTCACTGTCTCCAGCCCCCGTGCAGGTCGGGGAGCGTTCACCGCGGGATTTCAGACCTTTAGGAATGTGCTCAGGCTCGCTGCGCGGCCCAGCGTGCGGCCCGGCCCGGCCTGTGAGTTCCCCGGAGCTGGAAAGCAAGTGTGTTCTGCAGGCGCGTTCCGGGCGGGTAGTTACCCGGTTCATCGTGGGCTCAGATCTTCTGTGTCGTCATGGATTGGCGGGGGGCGTCTTCTCAGCTACTGAGGGAGGCAAGTTACAAATCTCCAACCCTCTTGGTGGTTTATCTCTTTGGCTCTGTTTTTGCTTTGTAGGTTTTGAGGCTGTTTTATTAGGTTGTACAAATTTAGAATTGTTGTCCTGGAAAATTGACTGTCATCGTTGTGAAAATCCTTTTTATCTCTACTGATTAATTTTTGTTGTTAACTCTCCCCCAGGGATATTTTTCCCATCGGTTTTTTATTTTATTTTATTATTTTATTTATTTATTTATTAAATATATCTTTATTGATTTCAGAGAGAGGAAAGGAGAGGGAGAGAGAGAGAGAGAGAAACATCAATGACGAGAGAGTCCTTGATCAAACCCGCAACCCGGGCATGTGCCCTGACCGGGAATCGAACCCCGATCGCCTGGATCCTAGGTCGACGCTCAACCGCTGAGCCACGCCCGGCCGGGCTCCATCGATTTTTAGATGGGAGGGAGAAGGGGGAGTGGGAGAGAGAGAAGCATCGATGGGAGAGAGACGCGTCGATGGGTTGCCTCCCGCACGCCCCCACCTGGGACCAGGAAAGGAACCTGCAACCCAGGTACGTGCCCTTGACCCGGAATCGAACCCGCGACCCTTTGGTCCGCAGGCCAACGCTCTGACCACGGAGCCACTCTGGCCAGGGCTCTAGTAACTGATTTTGCCGTAAAGTCCGCTGCGTCTCATGCGGCTGTTGCTACACCAGCTTTCTCCCGGCTGGTGTTTGCACGACGCAGCTTTTTCCATGCCTCTCCTTCCGACATCCTTACGTTTTCGGGAGCGTCTTGTAAGCAGCGCATGCATAGTTTTGGGGTGTTTTTTTTTTCCTGTTTTGCAAGTTTATGGGATCATCTTGGCACAAAATCACAACAGCAGCGTGTAAGCCTCTCCTTTACATGGGGATGTCGGGAGCAGAGTCTTACAGCGCCCGTCCTGCGACTTCGGGATTCTAGCGTTGCTGCGCAGGGTTCTGCGACAGACCGCACGCTAAGGTGACCGTTTTCATCGAAAGGAAAGTAAAACCGTCGCTGAGGACTGTGGTCATCTCCTGAGGAATTGTTTTTGTGTTTGTGGTTTTTTTTAACTCTACCTCGATTGCAGTTATATTTAACACGAGGTTAGTCACGATGTTATTTTCGGACCTTCCTCCCATGTATTTAAACATGGCAGCCTGAATTTAACCGCACAAGATGCAACATTTACCTCCGAAAGGAAGAGCCTAATGGCCCCCGCGTCTGTTTCCTGGAAGTCCTGTGGTTCCGGTAACTAGTCCCGAGTCTGTGTCTCATGACTCCGAGGGTCTGTTTCTACTGCTTCTTGCTTCCCTTGGTTTTCAAGCACATTGTCTCGTCTCTTTGGGTACCTGGTGCTTCTTGATTGAGTGCCGGGCATTGCATTGAAAAGGTGGAGAGAATCTGAAACCAGAGCGGTGCAGTCACTGTCCCTCGTTTGCTCTGAGATGTGTCCCCCCCACGCTCTGAATTCCAGATTTCGTCCCCCAGCCCCAGGCGCCCAGGAAGCTTTGCTCAGCTGACGGCCTGAGCTGTGTCGCAGGACCAGCTGGCGGCCACGGGGAGGCACACACGTGCTGGGTCCTGCCGGTTCCTGTGTCGTCCTTGGCTGTGGCTCTGGAACCACAGTGCCGTGGGTCACACCGCTGTCCAGATGGGGGCTTTGCATGGTCCTGACTTTCCTAGGGGTTCTCAGGAAGAGGCTGGTCCAGTTCACCCAGCTCTTTAGCAGGGGAAACGTGATCTTGGCCTTCCCCTGGCTACATTTGCTTAAAATGCGAATGTCTTAGGCCAGGGACAGTGCTGATTTCTGGTTTCTGTACATGGTGGTCTGAATCCTGTCTCATAAAGGGTAACATTTACACCCAAAATGAGCGCCCAATAGTCACCTGAATCGATGGTTGTTCCCAATGCTTTTTTTCTTACATTTTTTAAAAATTGATTTCAGAGAGAGGAAGGAGAGGGAGAGAGAGATAGAAACATCAATGATGAGAGAAAGTTATTGATCGGCTGCCTCCTGCACGCCGCCTGCTGGGAGTCGAGCCTGTAACCCAGGCATGTGTCCTGACCGAGAATCGCACCATGACCACCTGGATCCTAGGTCGACACTCAGCCCCTGAGCCACGCTGGCTGGGCCCAATGCTCAAGTCTAATGGGCTTCATTATATTTGACCTCTGTGAGCATTTGACATTTCTTAGCATAGAAACAGGCGTATAATTCTGAAGGCTGTTACAGGCGACAAGAAATTAAACTTGGTTAATTTTCAGTGGATCTTCCGCGCGGCGCCCTGTAGTGAGTCGGTTTACCTGGCCCCCCGTCCCACAGATCCTAGACAGCTACGTCCAGTTCGAGGTGTCCCACGGCCCCTCCGATGTGGCGTCCATGAGGCTGTCCAGGTCACGCGTGACTGATGGCGAGTGGCACCACCTGCTGATAGAACTGAAGAGTGCCAAGGAGGGCAAGGACATCAAGTACCTGGCGGTCATGACCTTGGACTATGGCATGGACCAGGTGAGTCAGCACCTGCTGCCTCTTCGGAACAGACCCCTTCAGCGGGCCTGAGGGAAAACTGCGTGACCCTTCCATGTACCAGGACCCACCGGAGCGCTTGTAGATTTGGGGGTGCACGTTCTGAGCCCCCTGAGTTGGGGGTCTCATGTTCTGTCTTGTGCTGAGGTCACTGGCATCTGCATCTCGTCCCCCTGTCCGGATGGCCAGCTCCTGGAGTCAGGACCGGGACCTCGTCTGTGTGTCCTGTCCTGGTGCCGTGGGCTGTTAGCAGAGCTGTCCCGAGTGACGGTTGTGTGCTCAGGGCCGTGCCTTTGGGTGCAAAGGTTAATAACACACGGCTGGGCTGCTGCCCTCAGAGTGGACGGTGCAGGCAGGTGGCTGAGCCGTGAGACCCAGGTGCCAGAGGGGGCCGTGGCCACCAGAGAGGTGCGCCCCTCCCAGGTGGGCACGTGGCACCTGCGGGGTGCACTCAGAACGCTTGCTGAACCCCATGATGTCCAGGGTCTGCAGCTGGGGAACAAGAGGCATGTTTTACAGGACACCCCAAATGGGCAATGGTTAAGCTCTCTTGGAGTCCAGGCTCATCTGTTTTTTGTTTTTTTTGTTAATCCTCACTTGAGGAAATATTTTTCTATTGATTTTTAGAGAGAGTGGAAGGGAGGGAGGGAGG